ACTTTATGTGCTTTTGTGGTTTACTTCTTGGGCATGAAAAGCTGGCTGGGCTAGGCTTCAGGTTCTCTCTTTTGATTTTATATTGGAAGGGCCAGATGGCCTTCATCTTGCTGCTCAGGAGCTCTGACAGAGGCCCAAGTTGGATGAGGATCAGATGCTCTCAGGCTTTCTTCTAAGGTCTGGATCCCTTTAGTCAGTAGGGACAGTAAAATTTGGGAGGATTGCTAGATAGAGATAGGATATAGGACTCTCAGTTAGTCAGGGGAAGGAGGCTGTTCTCAGGAATCCAGAGCAAGCAAGGCAGGAGGCTAGTATTGGGAATCCAGGTGGTGGGTGAGACAGCCAGGGATGAAGGCTGGTCTCAGTTATGCAATGGCAAGGTGGGAGGGAATAGGCTTCGAGGGCTCCATTGGACTAGACTGAGGAATTGTGTTGGTCTGGGTACAAAGGATCAGGAAGCAGTGGGGAGTGTGGGCCAAGAGGGTAGTCCAGAGGTCTGGAGTGCTAAGTGATGAAGTGGGCCAATGCCCTCACTAGGATGAGAGATGGGGTGGGGGAGCTGGGAGGGTGAATTGTGGGAATCAAGGCACAGTGGGCATGGTTGAAATTAACCAGGAAAGATGCTGGCCTCAGGAAGTTTGGGGTTGGTCTGGCCAGGGATGAAGGCTGGTCTCAGGTATGCAAAGGTGAGGTAGGAGAGGGAACAGGCTTTGAGGGCTCCAGGGGACTAACCTGAGGATTTGGGTTGGTCCAGGTTCAAAGGATCAGGAAGCAGTGGGAAGTCTGGACCAAGTGGGTAGTCTAGAGGTTTGAGGTGCCAAGAGAAGAAATGCTCATTTAGAAATATTTGACATGTGTCACTGAGAAGCATGCAATAAATGTATAACCAGATGGATGGGTGAAAACATTAAAATGTGAAGACTGAATATGTATAACTTGAGGGAACTGTTAGCATATATGACAGGAGGATACAGATAGGTGGCCTGGTGTCATACTAGGAAAGATCTTGAATAGCAGGCTAGGGGCACTGAACAAAAGGGTTACTGTTTATGAAGGAAGAAGATGATGGTGGAGTCATTTTAGGAAGCTGTGTTTTCTGCACTGAGCATACACGTCAGTGTGTGATGGGACTTAGAAAAGAAAAACCTGTTAAGGGAATATACTTTTCCAGATCAAAGATGCTTTGATATAATTTCACTTTTAAAACAATCCATGGGGTATGGCACAAACCATATCTGTGGACTTTGTGGACTGTGGACCTTCCTGTGAGTCAGCAGGGACATGGAAGCCAGACATTTATTATGGAACACTAAGGATGACCTGATCAACCTTGAAATTCCCAGCCAGTACAGAGGGCGCAGCAGTGAGTGGTGATCAGATGGCAGCTCTGTGTGTGGGTATTTATCACAGCAGGGAGAAGTGGAACCCAAGCTACAAAAATGCACATTTCAGCTGCTGAAACGCTGGCCCCTGCTACAGTTAGGCAAAGATGGAAGTGTCACTCCTACTGCTGGGAGCTTTTCATGCCAGGGGCTCGGAACCTTTTTCCTATTGAAGGCATGACTTGGGACTACCTCCTTGTCTTCAAGATGCAGAAATGTGAAACACTTGAAATGTTTTCACAGGTTGAATTCACGTCTAGGTTAAGTATATGCTCCTTATTATCACTGCTGAACCCAATGGAGAAATATTTCTCCTTTGAACTGGGTCACTGTGTGCTATCTGCTTGACTGGCCAGTTGACAGGGACCTGCCTTGCTTCCCTCAGCACAGGGCCTTTACTCTTGAAAAAGACTGGAAATCTATCTCCAGTCTTTCAAGTAGCCTATTATGGAAACACCAACCTGCATCTGATCTAGTGACTGTCTTCGGTTACATAATTTGAAAATTTAAGGGATTCTCTACCAGAACTCCCTTTAACAGTAAAAACAAGGAAGTCAAAGCATGCTTGTTATCCTACTGGCTGTCTGCCTCATATCCCAGCTTTATTTATATTTCTTCAAATCTGTGGCATTGAGTGTATTTGACTCCCAGAGATGATCATTCTTCCACAATAGTTAGTAAGAAAAATTTCAAACTTGCTTTTGAAAGAATGTAATAGCATTAATGCATCTATCCACACCTAGAGTCTACTCTTAACATTTAGCTGCATTTGTTTTGTCATATATCTGTTCATTTAGACTGGAATATTTTTTAACAATCTCTTTTTCTATATAATGAAATTATCTTTAGTTAAAAAACTCATACAGTAAAAAGAAGGATTAATGCCTAGGAAAAATGGGAACACTTTTATTTAGCTTTGTGTGTATAATTATGTTAGAAAAATAAAATTAGACAAATAAGTATTGCTCACAAAATATTACACACAAAAGCATCATACCCTACAGTTTGTGCTCTGTATAACTAAGCTGAAAATTAAATACAAATTAGCACTGAATGATCACACGGATGATGGAAATGAAACCATCAAATTTATGTTTCTGTCTTTCCAGTCTATGCTATTATGACTGCTTTGAATCTTCTGTTTAAACTGAGGACTGTGCAGTCCTCCTGGGACTGATGGAAAGGAACATTCAGTCCAAGTAAGCTCAAATGATTCCAGCGGTTAAGAAACATATTCTTGATCTGGGTGTGGTGGAGCATGCTTATAATCTTAGTACTCCAGAGCCTAGACTACTTAAGAATGTTAAGAAGAAGAAAATGGAAGGAGGGGAAGAAGGGGAAGAAGAAGGAAGGGAGAAAAGGAAGGAAAGGAGGGAGGGAGGGAGGGAAAAAGGAAGTAAGTAAGTTATACAATTGGCCATTCTCCAAATAAACTTCTACATGACACTCATTATTTATTAAAACACAAATGTTGGTGTGCTCATCTGATAGTCACATGAATTATGGAAATTCAATTGTGATGATAGCAATTGCTTAGAACTTATATCAATCAAAAAGTTTTTTTTTATTTTATTCAGGACAAAGTGTTCTATTGTTGGAATGATGGTAAAAAGCTTCCTTCAGCTGGCCATGTGCTTGTTTCACATGTGGTATATGCAGAGCCTCTATTTTAAAGATTTTTTTAAAAAATTTTATGTGTATGTATGAGTGTCTGCATGTATACCATGTGAATATATGAGTGTCTGGTGTCTACAGAGGCCAGAAGAGGGATTCGGATCTCCTGGAACTGGACTTACAGTAGTTGCCAGTTGCCATGTGGGTGCTGGGAAGTGATCCTCAGTAAGAGCAGCCAGTGCTCCAAATCACTGAGCCATCTCCAGCCCCAAGTGCAGTCTCTTATTGACTGCCACTTCTCACTCTGGGTTGTGTCAAAGAGAAACAACAGGAACTAATTACAATGCTGATTTTTATTACGTATAATCATAAGAAGGGAGCTAAACTCAATTTCAAGCACAGTAAAGACAGCTGAGGACATGAGGCCAGTGGGCAGATGAAGGTAACTGGACAGAAAATTCCTAAGCAAATGCATCAATTGTAGAGAGGAGGATTCTTGCTAAACTGACCTAACAGGAGTCTTCCTAAAGGTAAGTCAAGGACTTACAAAAGGATAGAGACTGAACTCCAGATACCAAGACTGAGCATGTATCAAGGCTGTGGGGATTCCTGCTAAATCCTTTTAGCAGGACTTTTGCAACAGCTGGGGTAGACTGACTAAGGACAGGGTCCAAGGACAAAGTCTAGTCGAAAAAAGGGCTCAGAAGAGCCTGACTGAATTTGGCTCAGAGGCAGTCTTAGCTAAGGGCCACAGCGCAGTATAAATTTTGTTTGTTTGTGACAGGGTCTCCCTGTAGCCCCAGGCAGCCTGGATGAAACTCATTATGTAGACCAGGCTGGCCTCATTCTCACAGAGATCCCCCTAACCCTGTCTCTTAAGTGGTGAGATTAAAGGCATGCACTACTATACCGGTGCAGCCTTAGTACAGATATTTTACCTGTATTAGTGGAATGTGGAATAGGAGTTTGTTCTAGACATAAGTAGAATATATCAGTGTGGATGGTTTAAAAAGCCATATTTTAAAATTTCCAAAATTCTTATAATTCTAAAGCCTAAACCATTCCATTGATACCCAGGGCCCCCAGGGAATGATGTGTTAACCTGTGTGTATCCCCTAGCACCAATGGGAATTTGAGATTGGCTCTCAAGATTGTGCTTCCCACCTTGGGATCTAATTCAGGTTACTGTAGGAGAGATGGGAAAGGCTTTGGGCTTCTCTGAGGAAAGACAAGGGGAGGAAAATGAAGAAAATCCTGCTCGATGGGAGTTTTCTGAGGAGAGTGTGATTAAAGAGCTGAGGGCAGGATTGGAGAGGATACCTTCAGGAGGACTGGTTCATGCAAGAGATGCCAAGCAGGCAACAATCTGACCACTTTCTTTTTTTTTTTTGAAAATATGGTCCTACTTGTAATCAAGGATATCCTCAAACTTGTGACCCTTCTGCTCTTATATCCTGAGGGCTGGGGTTACAAGAGTGTGCTACCTCACCCAGCCTAGCTGCTTGATTTTCAATTACATAATCACTAAGCCTTAAATAGAATAAGTCTGATGGTCTGAGCAAGTAAGGTTGGTTTTATAGACAAGAAAGATTTGAAGAAAGTAGCAGGGACAAATCAAAAAAGCATGGCCACTATAGCTACCTTTGGCTGAGGACACAGAGAGCACAGGAAACATGTAGGAAAATATGTCATTGGTTCATTTTAATTTTAATGACATTTGTAAATATAGATGAATTGTTGGATTGAGCTTCTGGTAAGGAGACTTTGCCTTATGGCTTGTCTCCAAGAGCCCTCACTGACCCTAGAGTTACACACAGGAACCTTCATTGGGGATGAAAAGATGAGCGCTAGGTCCCTTTAACTTCACAATGTAGCAAAGAGGCAGCTTCAGTTTCTGAACTGGACCCGGTGGAGGTAAGCTGACTCCGTTCCGCTGAAAGCTAGCTGAACACGATGACCATCTCTCAATTCTTCTCAAGCAAGCATGTAGGGAAGTGGGTGGAAACTGGTCTGCAGACACTCCTGGATGGTCACACACAGAACACATGAAAATGGACAAAGAAAACAGCGGTGCTTCCTCCAAGCCTGCCGACTTGAAAGTAAGTGCTGCGTGGGAGGCCTTCGCCCTTACCTGATTACCACATATTGTTTAGTGGTGAAATGAGTCCATGTGACTGTAAAAATAACAAGGACAAATAAGTACCATAATTTTTATGGTACTTAATGGATTTTATAAATGTGAGCTTATTTTAAAGGACAGTACTTGACAATTGATTGGCACCTACTTGTTTTTCTAAAACTCGAGGGAAATTGTACTGATCTCTACGTAAATTTCACTTTAAAATTTAAATAGCAGTGCTAACTGAGACTGCCTATAATGTGCCCTGGTACTTACAGATCCAGTCTGAGCCTTGCCAGTTCTACGTGTTTCTCTCTGTTGCCTTTTCTTCTTTAGACTTATGCTTAAAAAGTAGCTGGATACCACAGCTAAACCATCTAGGGTGGGTTGTTTTTCTCTGAAAGTGCCACCTCATTCCTTCAAGAAACCACATTGAATGAAGTTTAGTCCAGTTCAGTTTTATCAGGAGACAGACAAGCAGCATTTCATTCCAAGAGCTGACAAGGAAGTTGGGCATAAAGAATAAGGGTATCATGAATAACGCCAAGTGTACTTGGTCCCATGTTATTACATTGATTGGCAGAATTAAAGACAGAAAGACACAGTATTTTGAAAGGAAAAGTGAGGAAGAGTGAGAGGATGAGAAAGCTTAACAGAGCAAACGAGAGATGACTTCTTCATTATTGGTATTATGGATTATTGCCTTAAAAGAATGTGTGCTTAAAAGTTATTTCATCACCAGAGTTTAGTTACCTGACATGTATAAATCTCTTTGTCTAAGAAGCTAAACTCTCACATGTATTATTGAAGAATTCACAGCATCGAATGACAGAAGGCAGAGTATAAAATAAAAGAGGGGAAACAGTTAAATAATGTATTTTTTCCTTCAAGAAACACTATGCACATAAACCAGTAATTCTGCAAGCTAATGCGTCATCTACCTCATTCTTTATCTTGTTTTAAAATCATTCTTTTATTTACAATTGAGAAACTGAGTCACCAATCAGTTCAGTGGCCGTCAATGATGAAACAATCATGGTAGAGTTCTGTCTTACAGCTCTGCACAAACCATCACATCCTCTTAGTTTTTTTTTTCCCTGCCCACTCAGGAAGCTGTAATGAGGAAATCAATATATTTCTGTGAGAACCATGCTTGCAGTCTTATTTTCAATCCTGCGTCAGTACAGAAAAAATTGATTGTAAGAGAAAAGCAGAATAACACAAACATTTAAAAGATAGAACATCTGGGCATGGTGGACCATACATGAAATCTCCAAACCCAGGAGACAGGCAGGACAACTGTGACTTCAAAGGCAGCTCGAGCTGTTTACTTAGATCCTGTCTCATACAACAAAACCCCCAAAACAATCCCTTCTAAAACTCAAATTAACAAAAAGCAAACATCCTAAGAAGATATACAAAGAAAGCTCTGTCTATTCAGGCATCTACACATACAGAATCCTTTCCTCCTTCCCTAACCTTCAGATCCCTTAGTCTGCTGGGCTCCGTGATATTAAGGCCTCTGCTCCTCAGCATCCACTTTACAGAGTTGGAGCGCTGGGGAGACGATCTGGGAGACATGCTCTATGGTTGGTATAATGTCTGCACCTGTACCCATTTAGCTAGGTCCTAATGTCTAATTTTCCTCATCTTCATTTTGTAACCAGACACAAGTCCACTTATATTGCACTTACACAGACTATGTGTAAGACCTTTTAGCACCAAGATCTCCTGAGTGAATGGGACTACTTCTAATCAAGAACTTGTCTTTTTTTCTTTCTTCTAAAAAAGATATCCAATATCTCCATTCAGGTGGTCAGTGTTCCAGGGAAGCTACCAGGGAGACGACTGCCTCGAAATCCTATTGGCAAAGCCAGGGCCCCCAAGCAGTCCAAGAAGAGAGCTCTGTTTTGGAATGTCCAAAATAAAATCATTCTCTTCACCGTGTTTTTATTCATCCTGGCAGTCATTGCCTGGACGCTTCTGTGGCTCTATATCAGTAAGTTAAATGTCATGTCATTGCTTTGGGGGGTGAATTCTGTGGAGTCAACAGGTCTATTCTGTCCCTCAGCATTTCTGATGGATTTTTTTTTCTCTTTTCCAGACATGCACACTGTGTCCAAGTGTGGTTAATACTATGAGGAGAAAGCCATCAGATCTGTCTTTGCCATTTCTTCTTTACCATCATTGCTTTCTTCCCATGGGTAGGCAAGAGACAGAGGGTTGAGGGATGGGAGGGGAGGAGCTGAGGAGGATGCAATGCATTTGTAGCTGTTTAAAATGAACGGAATACTAAGCTGTTTTGTTTCCTCATTCCACCCACAGCCTGTTTCTAGGCAACCTTAAATTTCTGCTCTCTGAGCTACCTTTTATATAAACATCTTTGTTTTCTCTGTTATGTTTTTGTCCATTGGATTATGTTTCTGTCAATCTGATTGATCCTTTGGGTAAATGTGATAACTAAGATGTTTACTCTGGTGTACTTACTAATTCTTTTTAGTAACTATAACATTTGTTGACTTCCAATTGAATTCTCAACATATACGTCACAAGATACATTTATTTATTTGTTTATTGAGATAGAGTCTCATGTAGCCCAGGCTTTCCTGGAACTTGATATGTAGTCAGAGGTGATTCTCCTGCTCCCACCTCCCTAGTGCTGAGAGTAGAAGAGTGCTGTGCTAAGTCCTGTTGATGTGGTGTAGTACTAGAACCCAGAGCTTCAAGAGTGCCAGGCAAGCATTCTACCAACTGCGCTACATCCCCACCATGATACAAGATACTTTGAGTATCATATAAATGAATTATACACATTTTGTTTCTGTTGGGGGCTTTCTGACACTGATAACTTTCCCAGTGATAGATGGAATAGGAACATTTAGTTCTTAGTTCCTAACACAGAGCTTCTAAGAGGTTTTTCTAAGAGGTTTTTTTGTTTTTTTGTTTTTTTTGAGACAGGGTCTCCCTGTAGCCCCAGCTGTCCTGGAACTTGCTAGGTAGACCAGGCTAGCCTTGAACTCACAGAGATCCACCTGCCTCTGCCTCCCAAGTGCTGGGATTAAAAGGTTTTTTTGTTTTTTTGTTTTTTTTGAGACAGGGTCTCCCTGTAGCCCCAGCTGTCCTGGAACTCACTATGTAGACCAGGCTGGCCTTGAACTCACAGAGATCCGCCTGCCTCTGCCTCCCAAGTGCTGGGACTACAGGCATGCACCACCACGCCCAGCTTTTTTGATGCTGGTAAGACATCTGGTGCCTGAAAGCTCGTGGAAAGACAGAGGAACCAATCATGAAAATGCTAGGTGGTAACTTTCAGACCCCCAACCATGTTTGGGAAAGGGAGAGAGGAGTTGGAGATTAAACTCAATTATCAAAGCTCAATAATCTAAGGGCTAGAGAGATGGTTCCATTATTAAGAACACTGGCTGCTCTTGGAGACAACCCAGGTTCAATTCCCAGCACCCACATGGTAACTAGTAACTGTTCATAACTCCAGGTCCAGGGGAAGTCAATGCCCTCTTCTGACCTCTGCAGGCACAACATGGGTACACTTACACACATACAGGCAAAACACTCATACACATAAAATAAAAAAATAATAGAATATTTTTTTTAAATGATCAATAATCCAATCAATGAAACCTGCATAATAGAACCTCCATAAAATCCCTAAAAAACAGGATTCAGGGCACTTCTGAGTTGGTGAACTTGCTGAGAGGTGCTGTGCCTTAGCTCCACAGGGTCAGAAGTTGCTTAGCTCAGGCACTTCCGGATCTTACTCTAACGTAGCTGCTCACTAACAGTTCATTTATAGTCTTCATTATATCCTTTATAATAACCCACGAATAAGGGTGAATAATAACTAGATCTGTGAATCATTACAGCAAACTATCACACTTGAAGGGATTGTGGGAAACTCAGATTTGTAAAAGCAGCATGGACTGCTTGGGACCCACTACTCGTGATTGACATCTGAGATAGGAGCATTATTATGGGATTGAAGCAGTAATCTGTGTAATTAGTGTCAGTTACATTGAATCTTTGCATACCCAGCTGACATTTGTAGAGACTTGGAGAGATGCTTGGTGTCAGAAAGGCTGTGAGTAGAGAAATAGATTGCCTAGATATACTATTGAGGATATTCAAATGTGATTGGAAGGTAACATTTACAGGCAAAGAATTCGTGAATGTTCTCTTGAACACTTTATGTCATATACTTATAATAAACTGACTCTCAATCATTTGTTTGACATAAAAATAAACCCTCAGGCAATCTTCAGAAAGCTTATAGATGCATTTTCTACTTTAAAAAGCTGGGCGTACTGGAGAAATGATGTGGGTTAATTTTTTTTTTTTCTTAAGGGGTTGTTTTGTAATCGTAGACTGGGCTTCTATGTACCCAGAGATGTAGTTGAGAAATGGCCCCCTGAACTGGTTTCCTGAAAGTTCACTGGGTATATGTGGGAGCACCAGAGTGAGCTGACCCCTGCAGTCAGCATACCCTTGACTAGTAAGTCAGATAACATTTCTATGTCCAAGGAACTTGTAGATTTGGGGGGGAAGTCAAGTCAGTAGGCAGTTAAGACAAACACACACATTGCAGCCAAGGTGTTTTCATTTCCCTGGAGTTACTGAACTACAGAAGTAGCCTGCTTCTATGGAAACCAGAGAAGCCCATTTCATGGAGACAGAGCAGCGGTGAGCAAAGGAAAACTGACTAGAGTATGTAAGAATTGTTCAAAAGAAAACAGGTTAGTTTTGACACATACTATCTGTCATAGAGGGTGGTCATGTGAGAGGAGGTAGACAGTTAATCCGGGAGAGCGGCAGGGTCTTCTGTATCAACTGGGCTGAGCTAAAAAGCATTCAGTAAATGTAGATTCAAAGCTAAATTGATCATCCTTGCATTGCTGCTGTGCTGCCCCTTGAGTACACACTGATTGGAGAAGGATGTGTGAGCTCCTAAAAAAGAAATCTAAGAAGGGTCTTCTTAAAAAAAAAAAAAAAAAAAAAAAAAAAAACCAAAAAAAATTTTTTTTTAAGAGGGAGCCCTAAGGGGCGATTCCAAGAGGGTTGCTTCCTGTCAGGCATGTAGATGGCATATTTAAATTTCACATCTTTTATTTAGTTTGGCCTTGGGATAAGCCTTGTGATAGTAGAGGATACTCTCTTTCTCTACCCCTCTATCCTTCTCTTGCCAAATGTATTGAGCCCCAAAGATAAGTTAGGAACTGGCTATGTTGGAGTTTGAAGAAGAGTGAGTTACTGTGTATTCCCTCAGAGAGCTCACAAAGGGATGTGGCCACAGCGAAGGAGGTTGCAAGGGTCATGGGGAAGACAATACTTGGGAGGCAGAGGCAGGAAGATCCTGATTTCAAGGACAGTCCAGGCTCTAATAAAAGGCCAAGGGGTGGGAGTACAGCTCACTGTAGAGTATTTGACCACCATGTTCAAGGCCCTGAGTTTGATTACCAGTATTGCAGTAAATCAATGAATGAATAAATAAATATTTTAAAAATCCATGTGGTGGTGCTACAGGAGAGAGACTTTGGAAATAAAGAGAAGAGGGGCTATGGGTCAGAGGTAAGGTGCTTGCTTAGCATGTACAAGGAATTAAGTTCAATCCTCAGTATGGGGCTGGGGAAGAATATGGGAGAGAGGACAGGTTCCAATTCCCCTCCCCACTTCCTCTTTCTTGGGGACCTTGAGACAGTGCAGATGTGGCAGCCTTGTCTTTACTTCTCTGTCAGCAGAGTTCTGGTCAGCGAACACAGTCCCACAGTTGTCAGGGCAGATTTGAGCAGGAGTGACTCCATGCTTAGCTGAAGACCACAATCTGTAAGGATGACTGATGCTTTGGACAGAGGGGAAGCCTGGCCCTGTACATGAATAAGTCAGTCAGGAGCTTTCTGGAAGCTCCAGAGACTCAAGAGAGTTTCCTCTTCCTTTTCCCACTATGCCAATATTTTACCTCTGAGTGTGACGACATCCGGTTCTTACTGCCTTGTATCTCACAGACGTGGAATCCATAAAAATTGTGTGTGTTATTCTTAATCCTTTAGAGACCCCAGAATAAAATACACGTAGCATTTGTCTTTACAACTTGCTCTTAAATGTTTACCAGTAGCAGATAGGAAGAATGGAGAGTACTAAGAGCTACTGTGATTTGCTGCTGATGGAAGAGATGTTGCTTAGTTTATTAAGAGCATCGTAGGCTGTGAGCCAGTGAAAAACATAGTGGCCTAAAATAAAACCATTTTAGGAGCCTTATACCAACATGTAGCCAATGTTGCCTAGCTGTCCCACCAAAAGCCCAGCCTCCTAATTGCCTTCTCTCTTGTTCTGCAGGTAAGACAGAAAGCAAAGATGCATTTTATTTTGTTGGGATGTTTCGCATCACCAACCTTGAATTTCTTCCCGAGTACCAGCAGAAGGAATCCAGGGAATTTCTTTCCATGGCAAGGACTGTGCAGCAAGTGGTGAGACAGTGGCCTGGGGGAGCAAGAGGGCAGAGTCCTCAGGATCGGGGGTCGGGTAGAAGGCTTCCTAAGTGTCTCACATGCTGAGTTTAGGGAAATAGAGGATAGGTTGGGCAAACAAAGCTTTCAGAAGGAAGTATGAGATTTAACCTTTTTTTTTTTTTTTTGCTTTAAAATATGGTTGCATTTCTCTCCAGTTTTTTAGTTCATCTTCACTCTAAAATACAATTATGTTTTCCTTCTTCTTAATGTTAAAAAGAAATGGCTATCTCAACTTCTGTATTCATTTGTAAATTAATCATATCATGTGACCCTTTTAATGGTCCTCCAATTCTGAAGTTCAGTGCATATTGACTAATTCTGTGATTTTTACATATTTGCTCTAATATTTCACTAGCCATTTCTTTACTTTAAAACTTTCTTATTAATAATAATTAAAATTTGTTGTAAAAATTAGTAAAATTCAGAAAAGTATAAAAAGGACAAATTTTCCCTTTTTAATTGAATTTTTGAGAATTTCATACAATGTATTTTGATCATATTTAGACCCCCTCACCTATCTGTACCCTCCCTTAGTACCCTCCTCCTGATTTCATATACTCTATCAGATATGTATGTATATATATATTTAAGGCCTATTGAGTCAAATTTGTGTCTCTAAATGCCCTTTGGTATGAGGCCATACACTGGAGCCTGGGTAACTTACCCAGCATCACACCATTAAAGAAAACTGACTCTCGCTCTCCTAGCAGCTATCAGTTGCCAATAGTTCCTCAGCTAGGGTTGAAGCTTCTTACCCACTTCCCCACTTCTATGCTGAGATTTTGTTTGACTTGAGCTTTCATGGGTCTTGTGCATGCTGTCACCATTGCTGAGAGTTCATGTGAGTAACTGACCAGCTGTCTGGAAAACTCTTTGTGGTCATCCACCACCTCTGGCTCTTACAATCTCTCTGCTCTCTCTTCTGCAATGATTCCTTAGCTTTGGGAGGCGAAAGTTAGATATAGATGTCCTATTCAGGAATAAGCACTCTGCAGTCTGTTATTCCCTGCATATTGGATAGCTGTGGGTCTCTGTGTTAATCACCAGCTGCTGCATGAGGATGCTTCTCTGGTGAGAGTTGAAGGATGCATTTATCTATGAATATAACAGTAAGTCAATAGGAGTTGATTTAATATTATATGCATTTAGTAGAATAATACTAGTAGTTTCTTCTCTGTCCTGTGACTTATTTAGCCATTGATTCCTAGGCCTGATATCAGTGTCAGGTATGGGCTACATCTTGTAAAGTGGATTTTAAATCCAAGCACAAAGTGGTTGGTTACTCCCATAACATTTGTGCCACTATTGCACCAGTGGGCCTATCTTGCCAGGACAGTTGTTGTAACTCTCAGGGTCACAGGTGGGCAAGGTTGATGATTACTTTTCTCTTCTGGTAGCAAGCATTGCACCTTCCAGAATTATGAAAACTAGCCAGTAGAGATGAACTATGAGGTCAGTAACAGTTTGACTTATTTATCCTTATTTATTCTACAACTCATATATGTGGCGTCTGCAGCAATAAGTTCTCACTGTTGAGTAAACAACAGCAAGGGCAATGGATGGTATTATCTAAGGGTCTACGGGATCTCTGATCAACAGCTTAAAAAGAGGGAGGCCATTCCTGCTAGCTTATCCTCTGTGGTAGAGGCAATGCCCCCTTATTATATGGTAGCTCCCTTTAATATCTTTTTATATTGTTTATGTAAATACTTTAAGAAGATTCTAGAATGGTAAGCTTCCATATGACTTTTTCTATAGGCTTTTAGTGTTACTAACCCCTTCCCATACTCCCTTCCTGGCCCTGGTCTCCCATTCCCCACCTCCATTAACTGTTCCTACTCCATTGTTTCCCTTTCTCCCTTTGTATCACTGCATTCTATCTCCCCTCCCATGAAGCCTCTCTCCTTGGCTCCTTACTGGTTTCCTGACCTCTATGGGTTTTATATAAAACATGAGGATTCAAAGCTAGAATTCACTTATGAAAGAAAACATGTAACATTTGTCTTTCCTGGTCTGGGCTATCTCATTCAGGATGATTGTTTGAAGTTCCATCCATTTACCTATAAATTTCATTATTTCGTTTTTTCTTAATAGCCAAATGATACTCTATTGTGTAAACATGCCATACTTTCATTATCCATTCATCAGCTGATGAACATCTAGTTTTTTTGTATTTCCTGACTATTGTGAATAGAGCATCAATGAACATGAATAAACAAGTATCTTTGTAACAAGATATAGAGTCATTAAGTGTATACCCAAGAGTGATTTGACTGGATCATTTGGTAGAGCTATATCTAACTTTTTGAAGAATCTTTACACTGATTTCCATAGTGACCACACCAATTTGCACTCCCACCATAAATGAATAAGCATGCCCTTTCCCCACTTCTTTGCCTGCATCTGTTGTCATTTGTTTATTGTATTTTAGCCATTTTGATAGAAAGGAATTCAAAGATAAGGTAAATAAAAGGTTGGATGAAATCTCAAAGTAGATTTACTTTGCATTTCCCTGATGGCTAGTGATGTTTAACTTTAAAACAAAACAAAACAAAACAAACAAACAAAAAAACCCAACTCAACCATTTGTGTTTTATCTTTTTTTGTTAAAAAAATATTTTATTTATTATTTTTATGTGTATATGTGTGTTGCCTGCACGTAGGTAAGTGTACCTTGAGCAATGCCCACAGAGGACAGAAGAGACTGTCATATCCCCTGGAACTGGAATTATGGACAGTTGTTAGCTGCCATGTGGGTGTTGGGATTCGAACCTGGGTTTTCTGCAAGAACATTCAGTGTTCTTAACTGCTGAGCCATCTCTCTAGCCCCTGATTGTTTTTGAGATAGGGTATGTGCGTAGCCCCAGCTGGCCTGGAGCTTGCTATATAAACCAGGCTGTTCTTGCTCTCACAGAGGCCTCTACCCCCGAGTGCTGGGATTAAAGGTTTGCACCACCATGCCTGGTCCCTGCATTTCACCATTTGAGAACTCCTTGCTCAGTTTTTCCCCAAGTTTTGTGGGTTCTTTTCTTTTTTTTGATGATCAATTTTTTGAGTTCTTTGCATGTTCTAGATGTTAACTCTTCATCAGAGGCATAGCTGGTTAAGATGGTTTCCCCTCTGTAGGTTGCCTCTGCACTTCAATTGTGGTGTCATTTACTTTACAAAAGCTTTTTAGTTTCCTGAGGTCACATTTGTCAATTGTTGGACTTAATGCTTGTGGTACAGGAGTCCTGTTCAGAACGTCCTTTCCATGCGTGTAAGTTCCAGTGTGTTCTCTACTTTCTTCTCTATCAGATCTAGGGTATCACATCTTTTGTTGAGATCCTTGATCCATTTAGAGTTGAATTTTGTATATGATGAGAGATAGGGTTCAACTTCCATTCTGCATGTAGCTATCCAGTTTGACCTGCGCCATTTGTTGAACATTCTGTCTTTTCTCCAGTGTATTTTTGGACTTTTTGTCAAAAATCAGTAGCCTGTAAAGGTACAAACTTAAACCTGGGTTCTCAGTTCTGTTCCATGGTCAGTGTGTCTGATTTTCTGTCAGTACCATGCTGTTTTTATGCTCTGGTATAATTTGAGCTCAGAGATGGCAGTGCCTCCAGAGGTTCTTAAGTTTTAGGGTTGTTTTGGCTATCCTGGGTTTTCTGTGTTTCCGTAAGGAATTTTAGATTTTTCAATTTCTGTGGTGAATCATGTTGGAATTTTAATGACTACTGCATTGAATTTGTAGATTTTTTTTAGGATGGTCATTTTTACAATATTAACCCTACCGAACCATAAGCATGGGAGAACTTTCCATCTTCTGCCGTCATCTTCAGTTGCTTCCTCCAGTGTCAAAGTTTTTATTACACAGGTCTTTCACTTCCTTGGCTAGATTTAGTCTAAGGTATTTTATGTTTTTTGAGGCTGTTGTGAATGGGATTGTTTCCCTGGTTTCTTTCTCAGTATGTTTGTTGCTGGTATATAGGAAGGCTACTGATTTTGTGTGTTAATTTTGTATCCTTTGCTAAAGGTGTTTATCAGTTCTAGGGGTTTTCTGGTGGAGTCTTTAGGGTCTTTTATATATAGTACCATATCATCTGAAAATAGAAACACTTTGACTTCTTCCTTTCCAATTCATATCCTCTTTATCTCCTTTATTTGTCTTACTGCTCTAGCTAACACTTGAAACACGATATTGAGCAGGAATGGGGAGAGTGGACATCTTTGTCCCATTCCTGATTTAGTGGAAATGCTTTGAGGTCTCCATTTAGTATGATTTTGGCTGTGGTCTTGCTACACATACTGACTTTACTGTCCTCTGTATCTCTCCAGAGGTTCTGTAGAATTCTCAGTGACTTTTGTCACGAAGGGATGTTGGATTTTGTCAGAGGCCTTTCTGCAGCTAATGTAATGATCATGTGGTTTCTTTCCTTTAGTCTATTTATGTGATGCATTTCATTTATTAATTTTTGTATGTGAACCATCCCATCATTTCTGGGATGAAGCCAACTTGACCGTGGTGGATAACCTTTCCAATGTGCTCTTGTATTCGGTTTGTGTTTTACTGAGAATATTTGCATCTGTCTTCATCAGAGTGGTTGGCCTATAATTATCTTTTTTTTTATCTTTGGTTTTGGTATCTGGGTATTAGCTTTACAAAAAGAATTTGGAAGCATTTCCTCCATTTCTACTTCTATTATGCTATGGGACAATCTGAGGAGTGCTGGCGTTAGTTCTTTGATGATCTGGTAGAATTCTGCACCATATCCATCTGGTCCTGGGCATTTTTTAGTTGGAGATTTTTTTATTACTGCTCCTATCTCATTGGTTGTTATGGGTCTATTTAAATTGTGTACCTCATCCCAGTTTAATTTTGGTGGTCATACATATCGAGGAATTCATCTATTTCTTTTAGATTTTCCAGTTCAGCAGAATATAGGTTTTTTTTAAGTACTTTCTTAGGATTCTCTGTATTTCCTCAGTATCTATTGTAATGTTTCTCTTTTTATCTCTTATATTAATTTGGGTCCCCTCTGTCTGTCTTTTGGTTAATTTGACTAGAGTTTTGTCTACCTTGGTAATCTTTTTGAAGAACCAACTCTTCATTTCATTGATTCTCTGTATTTTTTTTTCATTTCTATTTCACTAACTTCAGGACTGATTTTGATTTTCTCTTCTTGTCTATTTTTTGGGGGGGTATTGATTGTTCTTATTTTTCTAAAGTGTTCAGGTACCTTATTATGTTATTAGTACAAGATGTCTCTAATTAATTTTCTGACGTAGGCAATTAGTGCCATACAGTTTTCCCTCAGGGATGCCTTCATAGTGTTCTATAGATTCTGGTATGATGTGCCTTTATTTTCATTCAATTCTAGGATTTAAAATTTTTTCTTCTTGATTTCTTCCTTGACCTGATTTTCATCCAGTAGTATGTTGTTTAGTTTCCATGAGTTTGTATATTTTTTCCCATTTCTGTTGTTGTTGATATCCAGGTTTATTCTTTTGTGGTCAGATAAAATATAGGACGTTTTCTTAATTTTCTTAAATTTGTTGAGGCTTTCTTTGAGTCCTAATACATGGTTGATTTTAGAGAAAGTTCCATGGATTGCTGAGAAGAAAATGTATTCGCAGATGTTTGAGTGAAATGAAAAACACCAACTTCTAAAATGTCATTTCCAGAGACAAAGGTTTTATTTTGAACTGTGTGAACATAAAGGATAATATTATATTAGAGTATAAGTATATATCTACTTTAGTAACTGATATTTTTCTCCTAACATTACATTGCATTTGCCTAACTATTCTTTTTAAATTTTTATTTTATTGAATTTTTGTGTATTTCATACAGAACATCTCAATCTTAGTCATCTTTATACCCCCATCCCCACTGGCACCCTCTCATAGCCCCCCCCACTGGAATTCATACATAACTTCATCTCTGTTAAGACCCAATGTATCCTCAGTGTCCCCAGCCATTCCCCAGTGCAAGTCCATCTGCGCTCCTATTTTTTGCCACTATACATAACGCAAAATCAAAGCTGTCAAATTATGTGTATTCCCATAGGTTATTTCCTAAAAGTATAATTACCTGGTGAAGAAGAAAAATATTCATTCATGGCTCTTGGCATGTTCAGAGAAGGAGATGCTTTCTGCTAATGAACTTCTACAGTACTGTAATGAGGGGTTTGTTAGAACAGACCTTACTACAGTGTAGAATGAGGAAGAATGTTGATGGACAGCAAACAGTCAGACTTCCTCTTACTTGCTGACAGCCTATGAAACACTTGCTCCATCACTGAATCCTTTACCTCTGATACAGGTTCACCAATTATTCCTCAAATTATGCTGAGGAAATAGGCACCGAGAAACCAGCCTAACCAATGGACGCTCAGCAAGTTTAGGCAGTTTGTGTTGTGTGGGGAATTTCACCTTCACAGCTCATATTACCTTCCATTATACTCTACATTTTTTTTAAGACTTGGAAGGCTGGGCATGGTGGCACATACCTTTAATCCCAGCACTCAGGAGGCAGAGGCAGGTGGATTTCTGTGAGTTCAAGGCCACCCTGGTCTACATAGTGAGTTCCAGGACAGCTGGGGCTACAGGGAGACCCTGTCTCAAAAAGACAAAATGAAAAGAAAGATTTGGAGATTTTCAATCTTTACATCTAGAACCTGGGCATTTTGATTTGTTTGTTTGTTTTCAATTGTGTAGGAGTGGGGGCATCTTAGAAGAGTTGGAAAAGAGAATGAATTTTGTTTTAGAACAGCTGAGATGGTGTACTGCTTGAAAAAGCTCTCCTTTAAAATTTAATTTTGAAATTTTAAAATGGCTGGGCACCTTCTCAAAGGCAGTTCTGAAGCAGGGTGGTAGGATCTGACTGTGGGCTCCATGTGCCCCCTTGTGGCAATCCAGGAGTGAGTCCTTGTGACTGATTCCACACAGAAAGGTATAGTCAAATCTGTGAAAACGTCCTCTAACGACTTTTTAAATTCAAGAAGTGATGTCTGGGTTTAGAGTCAGAAGCCTTCAGTTTGAGGCTTTCTTTTCTCTCTACTAGTTGTTGGAATGTGGTGCTAAGGAAGCCAAATTTGAAAGAATTAAGACAAAATAATCCTTTTATTTTCAGGTAAACCTTGTTTACACAACATCCGCTTTCTCCAAATTTTACAAGCAGTCTGTGGTTGCAGATGTCAGGTAATTCTGGCCACTGTTTTGGGATTCCTACCATCCTTGCTATAAAATTTCCTTAAGGCTCTTGAAGGATTGAGACTCCACCACTTTCAAATAATTTCTTGGTAGCAGTTGTTAGTGAACACCCTATTAACACAACTAATGACTCGACTGTCTGCCTGGCGAGGTCGCACCAAGTGTTTGTTCTTGCCCCTCCCACACTCAGCTGGAATCCTTGTATCAGTGCTCTGGGAAAAACAGCCATAACATGACTATCATATTGGTGGATAACGGAGGTCAAAACAAAACACAGACCATTATTTCTCCATGTATGTTGAGTGAAAAACTGGTCCCCAGAGAACTTCTGAGGAAAAAAAATCTCATGATGAAATAATAATTCCTTAGGAAAACTTGTGGTACATGTGCAATGGCCCGTCTTCTTCTACCCCCAAAACAGCTGCAGAGATTCACACTCTCCATTAGCATATCAAAGGGTATCTACTATAGGATGCTGTCTTGTTTTCCTTCATAAAACGTGCAGTATTTGCGCAGTTAGGTGATCACACTTTGCAGTCAGCTTGAAAATCAAACCGGACTCCATTTTAAGAGCCAGCAACTGTTTGGTTTTGAGCTATCGGCTTCCTCATCTGCAAAACTGCAGCAATCATAGGACCTTTCTAATAAGATTAAATGGGACAGAGCAGATGTAACACAGTGGTGGGACATAGCAAGATCTCAAATGTAATCCATCACTTTTACGTTTAGTGGACAGTGAGGGCTGGTTGAATCCCATAGAAACAATATATTCTCCCTGGAGATGTAACTCTGCAGTCATGGTTCTAGATTTGAATCCAACACAGTGATCAAAACACACATAGCATGATGCTTTCCCTTTCCAATCCTTGTAACAGGGCCAGTGACAACATACTGAGAAGTGTTAGGTTCATCTGAAGGGTGAGCTCAGTGGCCTTGATTCTACCAGTGGGGTTTCTGCCTTCCCGTAAATGTCAACTTCCTAAGATGTGTCCTTGACTATCTCTCTCTCTTTTTTTTTTCATTATAGCAGCAACAACAAAGGTGGCCTCCTGGTCCACTTTTGGATTGTCTTTGTCATGCCACACGCCAAAGGTCACATCATCTGTGAGGAATGTGTGGCAGCCATCTTGAAGGACTCCATTCAAACCAGCATCACAAACCGGACTTCTGTGGGGAGCTTGCAGGGTCTGGCTGTGGACATGGACTCTGTGGTACTAAATGGTGATTGTTGGGTAATTCTCCTTTAAGCATTCCTTCCTGTAGCACAATCCTGCCATTATCGAAGCTAACATTGTGGTGAAGTACTTGTCCATAATCCAGGGGCACAGGATTGCCAGGATATTGGAGCTCTGGTGAAGCAAATTGCGAAATATTACGTATAGTACCATGCTTGAAACAGAATTGTGAATAAATGTATACAAAATTATGCTTACAGTATATTCCTTTTTCTATATATTCAGTTCATGCATCTTCAAACTAAGTCACTAAGAAACAGATCTCCAGAAATAGAAAAATTTTA